GTACGTCCCTCCTGGAGCTGACCTTGACATTGTTGTGAGGGACCCCATCAATGGGCCAGGTGAGAGATGACCTGTGTCCATTTTGTTTGAATACTGGTGATGGTAGTGGTTTCGTGGCGGTGGTGATGGTGACCCTCCCATTCTTTATCTACTTATCGCCTCCTTGTTTATCTCCACCCCACCCCCCCCCCCCCAAAAAAAAAAAAAATTAAAAAAAAAAAAAATTAGTTTAGTTTCTAAAATTCACCCCCTCTCCTTTTTCAGTTTACTCAACATCCCTAACCTACAAAATCCTTCTACAGGAATGAAAGCAGCGCTGAAGACTCAACTCTTTCCCCCAGCCGATTACTATTCTGATTCCATCTTCTATAGTGCGGTAAAAACTTGGTGGTGCAACCTATTCTCAAATGTCTCTTTAACGGGTGAATCAACGGTATCCATACTTAGCACTGCAGATTGTATCATTCCGTCTTAACTTAATCATATTTTTCCACAACAATTGGGGTTCAATAAAAAAGACAATTCTTCAATTTGTAGAAGATGCTACAAACCTCCGTCACACTGGAAATGGTGTTATTCACAGTGCTTCCCGCTTCTCATTAACATTTTGTATACACTTACTGCCTGCGTCACAGTTCGTCAATGACATTTTTTAGTTGTAAAACTTGTTACAGGAAATTAATTTTCTAGTGAACACTTTATTTGCAGTTACGATTCTCAAAACCTGCTTTCAATAAGCATAAAGTTGCGATTCGAAAACAAAAAATGGACTAGCCTTAAAAGTAATACGTTGATAAAAAAAAAGTCCTTGTGCAAAAGCTGGAAAGCCTTGTTGGATAGTTGAAGAAATATTTGACAATAAGTTGCGCCACGCATTTTTGACCTCAACATAGACATCTGTTACTTTTGTTACTCTTCTCACCCGCTACATTTTTCTCCTTTCAAAATCTACTCTTAACTGTAAGTGTTTTTAAATGCTTCATGGCCAGACAGAAGCATTATTTTGCTCTTAAGGGGAAATCGATCCTGCTCGACTGGTCTAGGCAAAATAGGATTTTTCTGACTGCTTCACACTTCTTCTGCAATTACTCGCATTTATTTATGGACCGATTTAAATGTTTTAGGCAATGTATTACCAATAAGAAATTCAACACTTTTCTTAAATCTATTGTTATCATCGATGTATCCCCCCCCCCCCCCCCCCACACACACATAAAAAAGAACATTCTTAAAGATATAATCAAGCAAAAAGAAATCTCATAATCTTTAACAACATTTTTCATACTTCACTGATCTTTACTAATGGATTTTTAATGGTATTTGGAATAATATAAAATAGCCAAAGGGAGTGGTTTCATCAAATAGAAATAATTTAAAAAATTATTGTTTTCAATTTTATGAACGAAATTCGAGTCATTGTCAGCAAAATTCTAGCCTTTCTTTTAAATTTCCAACTTTGACATGCTAAAACTGTATACAATGTTAACAACCTTCTTGTCTACTCATTTTTGAAACTCAAATAAATCATTTTTTAAATGACGTGATATTTAAAAAAGCAGCCATTAAAAATCATTCTAGCTAGAAGCTTTTTTTGTTGTTGTTGTAATATGATTTTTGCATCAATAGTAACAGACATGCATAGTTTTGAATTTTTCGGCCCAGTAAGAACGATTTAGCTGTCAGGTGGAAACCCCCCCCCCCCACCCCCCACACACACACACAAACACACACCCATGAAAGAGAAGCGATACATATTTCATATTTCAGTAAGCATCCATTGCCGTAGAATATTATTTAC